CCTGTCTTGGCCCACCTCGACACCTGGGCTGAGTTAGCTCCCTGGCTGGAAAAGGTCACACTGGGCTCGAAATGAGGCACATGGGTTTCCCCATCTTTAGCAGGCCTGATGCCATGAAGCTATGTGCTGCAACTCCTAAATGGGACAAGAAAAGACAGTGAACGGCCCAGATCAGGCTGGGTAAGTAAAGGCTCAAAAGCCAGAGACAAGAAAAGAGAGAGGAGGGGACTAGTGTTTTGCTAGAGAATTTCCCTCCAGGATTCCAGGATAATTGGGCCACTTCACTGCTTTCAAAATTGGTGTGATCCTTAAAAGTGCTTCAGTGGGTCTGAAGCCACTCCTCTCCCCACTTAGGATTCTTGAGAAAGGGACAGAGAATTCCTCAAATCGACCTCCCCTTTCTCTTTCCCACAGATCCTAATGGGACCATACTTCCTATATTCTCAGCCACCAGCGGGTGGGCATTTTGCTAATCCAGGCAGAAAGGATGTGCTTCAGCTCTGTGGGCTTTAGGGCCTCATCCTCACGCATAAGCCTCTTAGTCAGGCTGGAAACCTTTCCAATTACCTATGGTCCCTGCTAAGTTCTTCCAATTCTATACTGTCTTCCAATTGTTGAGGTCCCCAATTCAGAGCCAAGAAATGCATATAACCTAATGTCATTGGTTAGTAGGGATGACCAGGAAGGTCCCTTCTAAGGCACTCAGAGAGGTCTTCCTCCCTCCCGAAGTTGTAGAGAATTGTCAAGTGAAGTCTGGAGATGAGAAGAGCAATTTCAGACACTATCAGTGAGATGTAAAGTGGTATCTTTTTTGGAAAGCATTTTGGCAACATGAATCCCGAACCTGGAATATGTCAATTATTTCATTTCCAGGACTACCTCACAAGTTAAAAATCAGAGATTCAGACAATGATTTTAGTACAAAGATGTTAATTATCACACTATTTACAAAAGTAAAAATTGATGATGACTTGTAGGCTAGTAGTAGGCTAACCACGGGAGTATGGATAGGTAAACAATGTTATAGCCAAACCATAGACTATTACCATGGTGACATTACAAAGGTTATTTACTTGATTGTTTCAGACAGGGTCTCACTCTATTGCCCAGGCTAGAGTGCAGTGGCACGATCATAGCTCACTGCAGCCTCCATGTCCTGGCTCGAGTGATCCCCCCACATCAGCCTCCCAGAGTGCTGGAATTATAGGAATTGTATCTGTTTTTTATTACATGGAATGGTGTTAACTGAAAAAGGCAGGATATAACACAATCATAAAATATCGCACTTATATAAATGCAATATCCATCCCTAGTATACAAAAATAAGACTGAAAGAATATACAAAATACCTCCAGATGTTTACAGAGATGAGAAAAAAAGAGAATACACAAAATATAGATTTGAATATAGAATTTATTTTTCTTTTAAACAGATGACCCCACAGAAAGCTTCTGTTATGGGATCCTGGGTGACTCATTTGCTCTTTTCATTTTCGTGTTTGTTTTTTTTTTGAGATGGACTTTTGATCTTGTTACCCAGGCTGGAGTGCAATGGTGCGATCTCAGCTCACTAAAACCTCTGCCTCTCGGGTTCAAGCAATTCTCCTGCTTCAGTCTCCCAAGTAGCTGGAATTACAGGCACATGCTACCATGCCCTGCTAATTTTTCTGCATTTTTAGCAGAGACAGGTTTTCGCCATGTTGGCCAGGCTGGTCTTACACTCCCGATCTCAGATGATCTGCCCGCCTTGGCCTCCCAAAGTGCTGGGATTACAGACATGAGCCACCATGCTTGGCCTTCTCTTTCATTTTCTAAGTTTTTTACTTTCCTGTATTAGGAAATTTTAAAATAATCTTAAGGATGACTGCCACATGCCAGCCATAATGGAGGATGGTCTTTCTTCTACCCTAGACATTTCACACTGCACAGGCCTCACTTGGATCTGACATCTTCCTTTCTGCACTGTGCAGATCCCCTCAGTATATGCAGAGAACAGAAAATCACTTTGCTGCCAGTGGAAGGTAGACAGAAGCTACATTTACTGGGGAAGAAAATACCCTTGCTGTCAAACCATGGCCTGAAAATAAAGGCCCTGAATTATTTCCACCTATCCCCACTCGATGGCTGCAGAAAATGCTGAGGGTGCTTGCATATGAGGCCATAAAGTTGTAAAGGATGCCTTCCAGCCCCCATTTGGTTTGTTTTGGTGAGGGCTGGGGCCTCTGTGATGGGCAAGCATCAAAACCCATGACCACAGCCATTGGTACTGCTTTCAAAAGCATAGCACCCACCCTAACGCCCTGATAAAGGATTTGTCCAGTAGTCTGGGCGTCAGGATTCCTGGGCTCTAGGCCCCACAGGTGATTCACAGCTAGCCCCAGGCTGTGCCTCCTGGCCTCAGTTTCCCTGGCTTGCTCTATTGGTACTTCCTGCCTACTCTGTGGGGTGTTAATAGGGGTGAGGTGCTTTGAACTTCTCAGATGAAAGAGGCTGGGAAGCAGCACCCAGTTATTATCCCCTATAGAGCCAGGCGTGGGAGCTGAGGTTGCTTTCATACTGTTCCAGTCACAGTAGCCTCCTCATATCCCCTCATTCGTCTGCCTTTGGCTCTGGCTGTCACAACCAGAAAGCAAAGCACAGTCAGTCCTATTTCAATGCTGTTTCAGAACAGATGTCCCTAAATGAATGTGCCAACTGCACAAACCACTAGTGAACTATCTATGATTTAGTAATACTTTATAGGTGCCTAATTTCTTTCTCCTGATTGGCTGCAAAACCTGTGGGACAAGGACTGTGACTTCTCACCAATAAATATACCAAAGGAGGAATACTCACAATTTAGTCAGCAAAACAGCTTATGAGAGAGCCAGGCTGACCAAAGTTCAAACTTCTCATCTTTCTGCTTCTTCACTGTAACATGGGTAATGGCTTATTAATTCTCCCCATCTTGTCTATCTCTAATGAGGATTATGTGTGGAAGCACTCTAAAATACCAAGCACTTCATGTGTGTTAAAAAGTCCAAATGTGGCCAGGTGCGGTGGCTCACACCTGTAATCCCAGCACTTTGGGAGGCCAAGGCGGGTAGATCACGAGGTCAGTAGTTCAAGACCAGCCCGAACAACATGGTGAAACCCCGACACTACTAAAAATACAAAAATTAGCCAGGCGTGTTGGCGGGCACCTGTAATCCCAGCTACTCGGGAGGCTGAGGCAGAGAATTGCTTGAACCTGGGAAGCGGAGGTTGCAGTGAGCCAAGATTGCGCCACTGGACTCCAGCCTGGGCAACAGAGAGAGACTTTATCTCAAAAAAAAAAAAAAAAAAAGTCCAAATGTATGCAAATAAAACTTGGCATAACAGTCTTGCCCAGGGCATCAGTCCTGCCCCTTCTAACACCAGGTTACAACTGCAAAAAGTAAGGCTGGGGTGCCACCTACTGGTTGAAAAATATATGAACTGCATCCAGCCAGTTGCAAGAAGAGCAAAGAAAAAACTTCAAGCCCTCTTAATTTTTGCCACACTCTCATAGGAACTGCCATATTATATATTAATATTTTTCTTTACACAACTTACATATTTTTTTAGATGGAGTCTCGCTGTGTCGCCCAGGTTGGAATGTAATGGCACAATCTTGGCTCACTGCAACCTCTGCCTCCCGGGTTCAAGAATTCTTCTCCCTGAGCCTCCCTAGTAGCTGGGATTATAGGCATGCAACACCATGCCCAGCTAATTTTTGTGTTTTCAGTAGAGAGGGGTTTCACCATGTTGGCCAGGCTGGTCTCGAACTCCTGACCTCAGGTGATCCGCCCACATCAGCCTTCCAATGTGCTGGGCTTACAGGCATGAGTCAACGTGCCCAGCCTTGTATTTCATTTTTGAAGCAAACCTTTTTTTTTGAGACAAAGTCTCACTCTGTCACCAGGCTGGAGTGCAGTGGCACAATCTCAGTTCACTGTAACCTCTGACTCCTGGGTTCAAACAATTCTCCTGCCTCAGCTTCCCAAGTAGCTAGAACTACAGGCATGCACCACCATGCCCAGCTAATTTTTACATTTTTTTGGTAGAGACAGGGTTTCACCATGTTGGCCAGGATGGTCTTGATCTCTTGACCTTGTGATCTGCTGGCTTCGGCCTCCCAAGGTGCTGGGATTACAGGCATGAGACACCATGCCCGGCCTTGAAGTAAACTTTTAACCACTACTGTAAATAGAAAACTAGTCAACACTTGTCAAAAATAGAATAAAGCCATAAAACAAATAAAATGAATATAAAACATTAATAAAGGTCTAGCCAGGAATTGTTGCCTGTGAAAGCTGAGTTTGAGGCTCTGTTAAAACTGAAAATATTGGGACACAGTGGCTCACACCTGTAGTCCCAGTTACTCAGGCGTCTCAGGTGGGAGGACTGCTTGAGCCTAGGAGTTTGAGTCCAGCCTGGGCCATATAGTGAGACCTCATTTTTTTTTTTTTTTTTTTTTTTTGAGACAGAGTCTCGCTCTGTCACCCAGGCTGGAGTGCAGTGGCGCGATCTCGGCTCACTGCAAGCTCCGCCTCCCGGGTTCACGCCATTCTCCTGCCTCAGCCTCCCAAGCAGCTGGGATTACAGGCGCCTACCACACACCTGGCTAACTTTTTGTATTTTTAGTAGAGACGGGGTTTCACCGTGTTAATCAGGATGGTCTCTCGATCTCCTGACCTCGTGATCCGCCCGCCTCGGCCTCCCAAAGTGCTGGGATTACAGGCGTGAGCCACCGCGCCCAGCCGAGACCTCATCTTTTTAAATAACAAACAAACCTGAGAACCAAAAACTGAAGATTAATAGAAACACCTGACTAGAGACTGAATGTCAATCCTATGTGACTGAATGTGAATTATATGCTTTGGGGAAATACTGATTATTCCAAGGGAAGGTGACACTCCCTCATTCTTCCCCAAACCCCTGGGCCCGGAAGACTGAAGAAGAGTTTGGAAGTCACAAAAAGTAGAATATAAACTCTTGTATTGCAGCACATTCCGTCACAGCCTGAGTAGGACCAGTGCTCGACTTTCTGGTGGCAGGGCCCGGAGCTCACAGACACCACTGACGGTATGGTAGGTGTTCTGCTTGGCGCCATGTCTGGCTTTTTGGCCAGAAGTCCTTTGCAGAGCTCAATATCCCCTTGCCAGCCCACCAGCTCTCGCTGGGAGGACTTGCTCTTGGGTCTGCAGCCTGCTTCAGGAGCCTCCACTTTCCCCAGTGCTGGGTTATGCATCCTGCTCTCCAGGATCCACCTTGTTGCTATAGCTGCATGGCTTCCTGCTCCACTGACTGGTTCGAGGGTGCCAGGTACTTCTCCTGGATGCCCAGTGTGCTGAGGAGGGGTGCGTCAAGGCTGATAGCATAGGCAGAGGATGGGGAGCTGGTCTGGGCAGGATGTGACTTCCGCTGATGCCTACACTCCAACCATGTTCATCCCTCTCTTCCTCATAAATTATAGGGACCAATCAAGTATGAGAAGCCTCCAAAAACATCCAGACTCAAATGCTCCTCCTCTATATGCCTCTTCCACACACTGCTGCGGATCAAAGGACTGAAGAGCGCTAACCTTCCAATGTTGTGTTATGGTACATGCTCTGGAGCCAGACCAAGTGGGTTCAAATCCTGATGATGTCTGGGTCTGGGGTCTGACGAGGAGATGGAGGTTAGCCATGGCTAGGTTGGCTATGTTAGGACACCACGGCGGTTCTACTACCAAATGGCTCCAAAGGAAGAAACTGAGATTCTACACCCAGCAAAACCAAGGTTTGAACTGTTCTTCCAAAACATCCCGGGAGAGGGACCTTAGGCCTGTCGCCTCACTTATAAAAGGGCTTGAAATGAGAATTAAATGACCCTGCAAATAAAATACTTAGCCCACCAAATGATGTTCAAGTTACAGACCTTTTTCTTTTTTTTTTTTTTGTTGAGATGGAGTCTCGCTCTGTCACAAAGCTGGAGTGCAGTGGCACGATCTCGGCTCACTGCAACCTCCAACTCCTGGTTCAAGCAACTCTTCTGCTTCAGCCTCCAGAGTAGCTGGGACTACAGGCACCCGCCACCACACCCAGCTAATTTTTGTATTTTTAGTAGAGATGGGGTTTCACCATGTTGGCCAGGATGGTCTCGATCTCCTGACCTCGTGATCTGCCCACCTCTGCCTCCCTAAGTGCTGGGATTACAGGCGTGAGCCACCGTGCCTGGCCCTTACAGACCTTTCTTTACTGTCTCTATGAATCCATCAACCAAAATCCATCTCACCCCTAGTCAGATTGACTCTCAACTGGTGCCCCTTCCCAGTGACTTTTCCACAGCAGATACTGCCTTATTTCTGTGCAAGCTGGCCCTGAAGATCACTGGGGATCAGTGAAATCCACCTTGCTTATCTCTGACCTAATGCCCACATTCCTGAGTAGGGCATACAAAGCCTCACCTCCTACCTGCCTACCTGTCTGGCCCCACTGCTGCTCCCCTCTCTGAGTCCTTGCCCTGCTCACAAGTCATGTCATCCTACTTTTTTTTTTGAGATGGAGTCTCACTCTGTCACCCAGGCTGAAGTACTGTGGCGCCATCTTGGCTCACTGCAACCTCCACCTCCTGGGTTCAAGCGATTCTCCTGCCTCAGCCTCCCAAGTAGCTGGAACTACAGGCGTGCACTACCACACCCAGCTAATTTTTGTATTTTTTAAACAGAAACATGGCTTCACCATTTGGCCAGGTGATCTGGACTCAGGTGATCTGCCCCCACTTGGCCTCCCAAGGTGCTGGGATTACAAGCGTGAGCCACCATGCCCAGCCCCTACTTTTTGTCAAAAATAAATTTCTATACTTAAAAAAAAAAAAAAAAGAGATGGGGTCTCACTATGTTGCCCAGTCTGGTCTCAAACTCCTGGCCTTGAGCAATCCTCCCACCTTTTAACTCCCAACACGTTGGAATTACAGGCATGAAGCCATTACACTTGGCCCATGCCATCTTATTTGCAACCCTCAAAACCTGTCTCAACTTTGAACCTCTATGCCTTTGCATATACTGTTCTCTTTAACTTGAATTCCCTTTCCTTCTTCATTAGACTGGCTAACCCTCACCTTGAAATGATGCAACTCACGTGCCACGACTCCATAAAGCTTTCCTTACCCACCTACCCTTCAGCAGAGCTGACCGCTCCCTTCTTTGTATCAGTCCCTACTCTCTTATAGCGAGCTGCTGAATCTTTTTTTTTTTTTTGAGACGGAGTCTTGCTCTGTCACCCAGACTGGAGTGCAGTGGCACAGTCTCGGCTCACTGCAAGTTCCGCCTCCTGGGTTCATGCCATTCTCCTGCCTCAGCTTCCCAAGTAGCGGACACTACAGGCACCCGCCATCACGCCCAGCTAATTTGTTGTATTTTTAGTTGAGACAGGGTTTCACCGTGTGAGCCAGGATGGTCTCGATCTCCTGACCTTATGATCCGCCCACCTCGGCCTCCCAAAGTGCTGGGATTACAGGCGTGAGCCACCGCACCCTGCTGAGAGCTGCTGAATCTTAAGTGGGTTAGGGTTGGGGCAGAATCTAAAATCAGCACAAATGTATATGGTTAAAAATACCCTTGAAAATTCCTCAAATTATTTGTTAAATGCAGCATACATGGTTTTGTGAATAGAACCCTTTATATATATGAATACATAAAGTAACATACAGATGCTCCATGACTTATGATGGGGTTACATCCTGATAAACCCATCCCAAATCAAAAATATCTTAAGTCGAAAATGCAGGCCGGGCGCGGTGGCTCAAGCCTGTAATCTCAGCACTTTGGGAGGCCGAGACGGGCGGATCATGAGGTCAGGAGATCGAGACCATCCTGGCTAATACGGTGAAACCCCGTCTCTACTAAAAAATACAAAAAACTAGCCAGGCGAAGTGGCGGGTGCCTGTAGTCCCAGCTACTCGGGAGGCTGAGGCAGGAGAATGGCATGAACCCGAGAGGAGGAGCTTGCAGTGAGCTGAGATCCGGCCACTGCACTCCAGCCTGGGTGACAGAGCAAGACTCCGTCTCAAAAAAAAAAAAAAAAAAAAAAAAAAGAAAATGCATTTAATACACATAACCTACCACACATCAGTTTAGTCTCACCTACCTTCAATATTCTTAGAACACTTACGTTAGCCTGCATTTGGGCAAAATTATCTAACACAAAGCCTGTTTTATAATAAAAATATCTCATGTAATTTACTGAATACTGTACTGAAAGTGAAAGAATGATTGATAGGTACCCAAAGTACAATTTCTACTGAATGCATACAGCTTTCACGCCATTGTAAAGTTGAACCATCTTAAGTTGGGAACCATGTGCACGGTGTACAAAATATTACAACACTATTTAAATTGCTCCTCCCAGCCTAGGCTGCATGGTGAAACCCCATCTCTACTGAAAAAAAAAAAAAAAAAAAAAAAAGGCGAGGTGTGCTGGCTCACACCTGTGGCTCACCCAGCACTTTGGGAGGCCGAGGCTGAGGCGTCTCAAAGAGACAGAGTCTCGCTCTGTCGCCCAGGCTGGAGTGCAGTGGCATGATCTCGGCTCACTGCAAGTTTCATCTCCTGGGTTCACACCATTCTCCTGTCTCGGCCTCCCCAGCAGCTGGGACTACAGGTGCATGCTGCCACACCCAGCTAATTTTTTGTATTTTTAGTAGAGACGGGTTTCACCTTGTTAGCCAGGATGGTCTTGATCTCCTGACCTTGTGATCCGCCCGCCTCAGCCTCCCAAAGTGCTCGGATTACAGGCGTGAGCCACCGCGCTCGGCCAAAAGTCCATCTTAAATTTAAAAAACAAAAAATTGCTCCTCCCCTCCCTTGCTGAGCACATGCAGTCCAATTGGCCTACATTAACTGCAGGTGTGACACAGCTCCTTAGTACCTTCACCAGAGACTGCACACTCTACTACCATTATTTGTAAGTCATTCATCCAACCCCTGCCCCATGAGCTTTGTTTCCCACATATGGCTTGACACAGATCAGTAAGTGTTGGCTGGAATTCTTTTCCTCTGTACCCTAAGACTCTGAGTCCCCCTTGTCTCCAGCATGCTGCGTAGATGCTGAATCTGTGACAGCATCAGTCTAGAGGGCCTGGACTTTCCTGTCCTGTTTCACGCATGGCCTCTGTGACCTGATGGACACCTCTTGGCTCCAGCCTCACTAGTCACTAACCAAGCTCCAAAGTCTGGCTACCTCTTGGATAGCTCTGGATGTCCCATGGACCCCTGAACACAGCACATCTGCCAGCTCTTGTCCCTTTTATCCGTGTGAAAAACCTGCCCCCTCCTCCTTTTCCTGCCTCAGTGATTAGTAAAACCACCCATGCACTGTCTAAGCCAGAGATGTGGGAAGCTAAATTCTGCTCCAGCTCCATCTACCCATTCAGTCACTGACTCTTATAGTCTATCTCCTTAGTATTTTTCCATTCCACACCTTTCTATTCTCACTACAAATTTTTCATCCCTTCTCAACTAACAAGACTGTAAAACTCTTCTGCCCCCAATCACATCCCTTAAATGCATTTTCCACAATTGCAGGGGCTTTCCTGAAATGTACATGTGATCGTGTCATACCCTGTTCAACAGTACTGCTTGAATAGTGGCTCCCACTGCCCACTCATGAACTGAAGTCCACATTCCTTAGTAGGGCACTCAGGCCCCTCCCTCGGCAGCCCTGCCTGCACCCCTGCAAAGTCCTTTCCTCTTCACATGCAACACACCAGGCAACTGGACCTCCTGCATCTCTCCCAAATGACCAATGCCCTCTCATTTCTGGACCTCTGTATTTGTTGCTCCTACTGCTCAATATCGTCCCTTGTCCTCAGTACAACCAACTCTGAAGCCAAGGGACCACCTTTGCACATGAGAGACAGTCATCAGGAAGCCCAACTGATCAATATGAATCAGTCATCCACAGGTGGGTGCAGTGGCTCACGTCTGTAATCCCAGCACTTTGGGAAGCTGAGGCGGGTGGATCACCTGAGGTCAGGAGTTCCAGATCAGCCTGGCCAACATGGTGAAACCCCGTCTCTACTAAAAATACAAAAATTAGCTGGGCACAGTGGCACATGCCTGTAATCCCAGCTACTCGGGAAGCTGAGGCAGAAGAATCACTTGAACCTGCGAGGCAGAGGTTACAGTGAGCCAAGACTGCGACACTGTGCAATCCAGCGTGGGCAACAAGAGGGAAACTCCCTCTCAAAAAAAATAAAAAGGTCACCCAGAAGGATGATGACTGTACCTCCTGTGGCCATTCCTGAGCCCCATGTCTCACCCTCTCCGCTATGGCCAGGAAGCTGGCAAGGATACGAAGAGAAATGGAAGTCGGCTCCCATTGCGGCAGACATCATGGCCTCTAGGCTTCGCTGCTCTTGGGCTCCGAAACAGTATCCATTGGCTTTATCTACAGCCTGCAGGACTCGCTGGATGCTCTCCTTGTCCTGAGCAGGGAGGAGAGAAACAGTTTTGTGAGTGAAACAGAAGTGTGTAAAACTGCTTGCAATCTCTAAATACACCTTCCTCCATCTTGCCTCTGTATGTGTAGCTTTCTTGGCCTGGAGTAGTTCTACATGTCCCCAAAGGCTGGATAAATCCCATGTTTTCTGACCACCAACTCACTCAGATTAGAACAGATAAGGTCCCCTATGCACATCCATAGTCCCCTGGGTTTACATCTATTGTACATGTAATAAATGCCTATTAACTCACCTGCCTCCCCTACTAAACTAAGCACCTCTTAGGGCCAGATCATCTGTCGCAGTATTCCCAGTGCCTGGCACAGTACTTCTCCTCTTAAGCAGATATCCAATAAATATGCATGGTTTTTTTTTTGTTTTTTTTTTTTTTTTTTTGAGACGGAGTCTCGCTCTGTCGCCCAGGCTGGAGTGCAGTGGCCGGATCTCAGCTCACTGCAAGCTCCGCCTCCTGGGTTTACGCCATTCTCCTGCCTCAGCCTCCCGAGTAGCTGGGACTACAGGCGCCCGCCACCTTGCCCGGCTAGTTTTTTTTTTTTTGTATTTTTTAGTAGAGACGGGGTTTCACCGTGTTAGCCAGGATGGTCTCGATCTCCTGACCTCGTGATCCGCCCGTCTCAGCCTCCCAAAGTGCTGGGATTACAGGCTTGAGCCACCGCGCCCGGCCATATGCATGTTTTAAATCTATAACTGGGCCAGGCGCAGTGGTTCACGCCTGTAAAGCCCAGCGCTTTGGGAGGCTGAGGCAGGTGGATCACTTGAGGTCAGGAGTTTGAGACCAGCCTGGCCAACATGGTGAAACCCTGTCTCTACTAAAAATACAAAAATTAGCTGGGCATGATGACAGATGCCTGTAATCCCAGTTACTTGTGAGGGTGAGGCAGGAGAATCGGTTGAACCCAGGAGGCGGAGGTTGCAGTGAGCTAAGATCACACCACTGCACTCCATCCTGGGCGACAGAGTGAGATTTCTGTCACACACACAAAAAAAACTATAACTGTTTCCTCATCCATATACAGTAATAAAAACAGTCTATATATCACATGGTGGGAAGGACAAACCAAAATTACATATGTCTAGTCCTTAGCAAAGTGCCCAGCACAGAAAGCCATAAATAAGAGGTAACTATTATGATTGATATTATAGAGTTCATCTCCTCATATAAGCGTGGCATTAGAAGTGAGGAGACAAGTTAGCTCAAGTTCACCCACTGCAGAAAGGAATCTAACATGTACCTGCGTCTCCCAGGTTATCTCTGCAGGGTAAAGGTGAGAGGCACAGGGGTTGGGTACCACTTTGCAAAGTCAACAGACAGTTGCCCAGTTGAATGGGCTTAAGAGACTTGTCCCTGGTCCTGGTCAAGTTTCTTGCTGATGACTTTCTGAACTCACCCATTTTCACACTGAGGAGGGAACATGTGAAGAGAGGATCCAGCAAAATAGAATAGACAGGCAAAAGTTTGGTCCACTCTCTTTACTGGAATTCTGCCCCTACAGCAGCCCCTGGTCCTGAAACTAAGATTACTCAGTGATAGTCAACCCAGGGCAAAGACCATTGTTTAAGCCCTCAAAGCATCCTGTGCTTTTGGCTTGGTGAATCCCAGGCACTGTCAGAGTCCTGTCTTAGCCCCCAGTACCTGGATGTTCAGAGGGATAAAGGACACCAGGCTATAGTCTTCGATGAGTTGCACTAGCTTCTCATTGAGCTGGCGGTAGTGGCGGAAGAAAGGGTCAGAAGCCAGGTGGTCAAGCAGGTAGGAGAGGTCCAGAACCTCTGTGTAGTAGTCCAGGTTGAAGGCTAAAGAGAGAAAACTGTGTTCAGGAACAACCAGTATCAGGCTAAAGACCTGAGGACGAGGTTCATTTTTCTTTTTTTCCTTTGTGTATTTATGCACTCAAGTATTACTTGACACAGTAAAATGAAGTTACTAAGAAAAAAAGCTTTTGGTTTTACCCTGCTGGCTGTGCTATTTACTAGCTATATAGGCAGGTACCTATTTCATAGCACTGTTGTGAAGATTAAATGCTATAAACCCCAGTGTCTGGTACAGAGAAGTGCTTGATCAACAACTGCAAACAGGCTGGGGTCAATGGCTCACGACTGTAATCCCAGCACTTTGGGAGGCCGAGGTGGGTGATCACCTGAGGTCAGGAGTTCAAGACCAGCCAATATGGTGAAACTCCATCTCTACTAAAAATACAAAATTAGACGGACCTGGTGGCACATGCCTGTAATCCCAGCTACTCGGGAGGGTGATACAGGAGAATCACTTGAATCTGGGAGGCAGAGGATGCAGTGAGCCGAGATTGCACCATTGCACTCCAGCCTGGGCAACAGGAGCGAAACTGTCTCAAAAATAAATAAATAAATAAAGTTGCAAATAATGATATCAAACATGGACCAAGAACTGTGTATGGCTGTCCTCACCTCACAGAGCTCACAGTCAGGTCATACCCTCAGGACCTGGCATGTACACTGCAAAGACTCTGTAAATGGTTAAACTGAATAAATGCTACATTCTAGCAGGGTAGCCTCCTGGGTATATCACTTTCCTTTTCTGAGCCAGTTATTTCTTAATGTAAAATAAGGACTAGATGATGCTGAGGTCCCTGATTCGGTTTTATAAATCATTTCCCACTAAAAGAAGTAAGTTGCACCTCCCCCTAGTGGCCTGTTTCTGCCCAGAAAACTTAAGTATCTGGGCTCCTTGGCAGATCTATCCTAAAGTGAGCTGAGGACTCTACATCACTCTATGTCCAGACTAGAAGCTAGCTGGCTCCCTGGACAAGGTCCTGACACCTCCCTTTCCTCCCTACTGCTTATGTGCTGGTCATTTTATCTGTCTTCTCTAGGTTCCTTTGTGGCTAGAGATGCTATTTAGGGAACAATGTCCCCAGTTCAGGAGAGTGCTAATTTTTTTTTTTTTTTTTTTTTGAGACGGAGTCTCGCTCTGTCGCCCAGGCTGGAGTGCAGTGGCACGATCTCAGCTCACTGCAAGCTCCGCCTCCCGGGTTCACACCATTCTCCTGCCTCAGCCTCCTGAGTAGCTGGGACTACAGGCGCCTGCCACCACGTCTAGCTAATTTTTTTTTTTTTTTTTGAGACAGAGTCTCGCACTGCAGCCCAGGCTAGAGTGCAGTGGCGCAATCTCGGCTCACTGCAAGCTCCGCCTCCCGGGTTCACGCCATTCTCCTATCTCAGCCTCCCGAGTAGCTGGGACTACAGGCGCCCGCCACCACGTCCGGCTAATTTTTTGTATTTTTAGTAGAGACGGGGTTTCACCGTGTTAGCCAGGATGGTCTCGATCTCCTGACCTCGTGATCCTCCCGCCTTGGCCTCCCAAAGTGCTGGGATTACAGGTGTTAGCCACCGCGCCCGGCCTGTTATTTTTAGTAGAGATGGGGTTTCACCATGTTAGCCAGGATGGTCTCAATCTCCTGACCTCGTGATCTGCCCGCCTCAGCCTCCCAAAGTGCTGGGATTACAGGTGTGAACCTCCGTGCCTGGCCTAATTTTTTTCTTTCTTTTTTTTTTTTTTTTTGAGATGGAGTTTCACTCTTGTTGCCCAGGCTGGAGTACAATGGTGTGATCTTGGCTCACCACAACCTCCGCCTCCCAGGTTCAAGCGATTGTCCTGCCTCAGCTTCCCGAGTAGCTGGGATTACAGGCATGCGCCACCATGCCTGGCTACTTTTTTGTATTTTTAGTAGAGATGGGGTTTCTCCATGTTGGTCAAGCTGGTCTCGAACTCCTGACCTCTGGTGATCTGCCACCTTGGCCTCCCAAAGTGCTGGGATTACAGACGTGAGCCACCACGCCCGGTCGAGAGTACTAATTTGTCAAGAAAAAAAAACTGGCCACTGGGACTCTAGCCAACTCCCCTCATACCAGCCCGCTTCAATCTTCCCTATTTTGTCCCTGGCCTCCCACCCCTTCTCTGTCTCTCTGCCACGTGAGAATATAGCCTCCTTCTGTGAGGACAGAAGGAGGCTGTCTAGGAGCCAGGAAGCAGGCTCTCACCACACACCAGATCTGCTTGTATCTTGATCTTGGACTTACCAGCCTCCAGAACTGTGAGAAATAAATATTTATTGGCTAAGCCATCTGGTCTATGGTATTTTTGTGATGGCAGCACAAACTGACTAAGACAAGGCCTTTATCCCTACTGGTGCCTCTGCATAGAACAGTCCTCCCTTGGCTGGCTCCTTCTCACCATTCACGTCTCAGCTCAGATGCCACTGCCTCAGAGCAGAAGTGAGAAACTGAGGTCCAGAGAGATGAACTGACTTACCCAGATCACACGGTGATTCAGTGGCAGAGCCAGAATTTAAACTCATGCCTGTTTTACTCCACTCACCTCACTCCCAAATATTCACTGTCGTATCACTTTAATTCCTTTGTAATACCTAACACCATCTGTAGCTCTCTCGTCTCCAAAATCTACACAACGGTATCTAGCACAGAGTGGCACAAAATAAATTGGCAGGAGTCAGAACCTGCCTGTGGCTACTATCAGCAGACCACACAAGTCACCAGAGGCAGCTACCTTCAGCTGAGATGTCTACTTCATTCTAGCCCAGCTACTGCCCTGCTCTTCACCTGGAACAGAAGCTCTTACCCAGCTTCCCATAATGCTCAATGAGGTCCATCTTGGAAAGGAGGTTGATGTGGGGCAGCTCCACGTGCAGCATGGTGGCCAGGGAGGTACACAGTACTGAAATGAACTTGGCAGGGTCTGTGCAGTAGTGAGAATCCACCAGGTGGACGGCAGTCAGCTGGGAGGGAAGAGACAGGGTCAGAGTGGCCTGGAGAAACAGGAATCAGCATTCTCTCATGATAATGAGGGCTTGAGGACAGAGGGGAAGCTTTCCCCATTAGTCTCCTTCTGCCTCTGTTTCTTTCTAATAACTACCCTCGTTTCCTTCTCCCAGGAAATAGGAGGCTTTTTTTTTCCTTACAAGATGTCTTGCACTGAGCCTCCCAGTGGGCAAGGGGTTTAAATCCCATGGCATCTGACTCCACTCTTTCATTTACTTTTGCCCACCAATTTACAACAATCTCCATGCCACTTTCTACATTAACCCCTTCCATACTTCTGAAATCGCCAAGTTGGCTACTAACACCCATTTTACACGTGAGTAAACTGAGGTTCAGACTGATGAACTGACTTATCAACACCACACAGCGAGTCAGTAGCAGAGCCAGATTTTGAACTCATGCCTGTTTTACTCCAAAGCAACTCAGCCCCTACCTCCCTGTGTGACATGGGGGTGTGGCGTCTGTCCTCCCTCTCAGTTACTCCATCCGCAAAATGGTCCTCCCCGCCCTGAGACTCACCCTGAGGTCCCACTGCGCCATTTGGGAGAAGATGCTGCGCAGGGCGCCGTGATGCGTGCAGAGCTCCACCTGTCCTGGGCAGTCGAAGAGGAAGTAGTGGCCGCGGAGGGGGTCCAGCTTGGCACGCAGCCAGTCCAGGTTGGCTTCCAGGTACTCCATGCAGTAGAGCAGTCCGCCGTTGGGACCCAGGCGCAGCGCGTCCATCACGTCGCCCAGCCCCACCAGTTCGCCTACGTCCACGGCACACTCGTACGGCAGCCCCTCGTTGGCCGGGTCCAGGTTCACCACGGCCACGCGCCGGCCCAGCGCGCGCAGGAACTCACTCATGCCCAGACAGTACGTGGTCTTCCCTGAGCCCGGAGGGCCGATCACCGCCTGCCCGAAGGCCGTGGTCGGAGCGGCCCCCGCCATGGGCGGCCCACGGCTCGGAGCAGGTCAGCTCAGAGGGAAAACGGGGCGAGCAGCCGCGCCGGAGACGAGACTGAGGGCGAGGGACCCAGGACGTATACCTCGTTGGCGGCCAGCGTCACTCGCCTCAGGCGGAACAGCGGGGACAGCGTCGCCAACGGGCCGGTACTAACTAGACTAACTTGACTTCCGGACAGCGTCGGAAGCCGCGGGCCAAGAAGAGGAAGTCCCGCCCTCAGGGCGGGGACGTAGCTCGACGCCGAGGGGAGGGCAGCGCAGCCGCGTTTTTCTCGCGGGGAATGGGTCGAATGTGGGGTCTTTGCGGGAAAATCTCTCTCGGAATTTCCCTGACCTTCCTTCAGACTCGAATTAGAAAAGAAAGGGAGCTCCAGTAGTAAACGTCTTTATTCTTCCGTGACGTCGCACACCCAAGCCACTTCCCGCGGACTCTCTGCTGCAGTCCCACCTAGTGAGGCGGTGAAGGGCCCGCCCAAGGCCGGCTCTTCCAAGCTCACAAATCCTCTCCTCGTCCAGGTCCCTTCCCCCCTCTTTCTGGCCTTCGTCGGGACACCTTCAGAGTCCCCAAGGAAGGCTGTGCTGATAGCCTCACTCAATCCAGCTTTTCAAGATTCTGCAGGAGGCAAAGGGCAAGCCCAGAGACTAGGGTTAGAGACCAAAGACAATCGGTCGTTACCCCTGATATCCAAGGGGAGGGGACGGGAGGGGGCTTTTTGTAAAAATCCCCGAGGTAGAGAACCGGCAGGCAGGCAGGCTCAGAGCAAAGCACCCTGAACCAGCCACGAAGACTGCTGCTCCCAGACTCCTTTCTGCTTCAGTGGTAGATGAGGCCGGGGCAGAGGGTTCTCATCATGTAGCTATGAGATTCTGACCAATGAAGCCCCCAACCTGGTCAATCAGGCAATGAGGGGCTGTCTGAAGCACAACTGGAACCCCTCACAAAGGCCATGTCTGTCCGAAACTTCATGCTGGTGGGTGGCTGGCGGCGGAGCAGTGACTCCGTCTGGTCCTGGGGTAGAGGCTCATCATAGATGGTGGAGATGAGCCCCAGGCCATTTCTACGGGGCCTCTTCAGTTGCCCAAATGGCTGCAGCTTCTCTCCATGGTACCTGGATAAAAACGGGCTCTCAGTGAGAAGGGTGCTCTCAAATTCCAGTTAAAGGGGTTGGGAGAGGACGGGGAAGTAGCTACTACGTCTGGTTTGTCCAAAGACAGAGGCTTTAAATATGGGTCTTTGCTCTCCAGCCCTCTTATCTATCCATTGACAGTGCCAGTAAGAAGGGACCTCAGATAAAATTTTCATTCTGTCACTACAGACTTCCTAATAGTAACCATCAAATCCAAACTCCTCCAACAAAGGGTATGAATGATCTTGTTAAGCCTTAGGGCTCAGTCTTTAAAATTAAAAAAAAAAAAAGCTTTATTTATTTATTTATTTTTGAGACGGGGTCTCACTGTCACCCAGGCTGGATTGTAATGGCGTGATCTCAGCTCACTGCAACCTCCACCTCCTGGGTTCAAGTGATTCTTCTGCCCCCAGAGTAGCTGGGACTACAGGCACATGCCACTATGCCCAGCTAATTTTTTTTTTTTTTTTTGAGACGGAGTCTCGCTCTGTCGCCCAGGCTGGAGTACAGTGGCCGGATCTCAACTCACTGCAAGCTCCGCCTCCCGGGTTTACACCATTCTCCTGCCTCAGCCTCCAGAGTAGCTGGGACTACAGGCGCCCGCCACCTCGCCCGGCTAGTTTTTTGTATTTTTTTAAGTAGAGACGGGGTTTCACTGTGTTAGCCAGGATGGTCTCGATCTCCTGACCTCATGATCTGCCCGTCATGGCCTCCCAAAGTGCTGGGGATTACAGGCTTGAGCCACCGCACCTGGCCTTTTTGTTTTGTTTTGTTTGAGACAGAGTCTTCCTCTGTTGCCCAGGCTAGAGTGCAGTGGTGTGATCTCGGCTCACTGCAACCTCCACCTCCTGGGTTCAAGCGACTCTCCTGCCTCAGCCTCCCGAGTAGCTGGGATTACAGGTGCCCACTACTGTGCCCAGCTACTTTTTTGTATTTTTAGTAGAGACAGGATTTCACCATCTTGACCAGGCTGGTCTCAAACTCCTGACCTCGTGATCCACCCGCCTCAGCATCCCAAAGTGCTGGGATTACAGGCGTGAGCCACCACGCCTGGCTAATTTTTGCATTTTTAGTAGAGACGGGGTTTCACCATGTTGGCCAGGCTGCTCTCCAACTCCTGACCTCAAATGATCCGCCCACCTCAGCCTCCCCAAAGTGTTGTGATTACAGGTGTGAGCCACCACGCCCGGGCTTTTTTTTTTTTTTTTTTAATAGAGACAGTCTCACATGTTGCCCAGGCTGGTTTCAAACTGGGCTCAAGGAATCCTACTACTTCAGCCTCCCAAAGTGTTAGGATTACAGGCTTGAGCCACCGCACCTGGCCCAGATTCACTTTTTCCTCTTAACTCTGTTTTGAAGTTCATCCTGCAAGAGTACTCAGCACCCATGCCAAAACCAGTGGGAAGAGGGAAACCAGGGCATAGCTGAAAGGCTTGGGCCCCCAGGGAAATCCCTCAGCCACACTTACCCCAATCCACGCTTGCATCTGGGGTGTTGGCCATCACTATCCAGGGCCTCAGGCACCCCTGAACACCTGCTGCCCAGGCCCTGGCCCTCAGCCCAGCCCTGCCGCTCCATCACCTTCCGCCCAATGCCCTGCAAAGTGAAGGGATAAGATTCAAGAAATCGGGCTCCTGCTGGGAGCAGGCGGAATGGGGATGGAAGAAGGAAAAGAGAGGGGTCCATGGGATGGGCACAGTGCTCACTCACCTTGGTGTGGCGCTCAAAGGTGCCCACCTGGCGTTCGATCACAGAGCCATCTTCCTGCCCATCTCGGAGTCTCTGTTCCAGACGCATTTGGACAGAGTCTCGGGCATCCTTGTCTCCACCATCTGAGGAACCAGAGCTCAGTTTATGGAAGTGTCCCTCTCAAAGAAGGGGGAAGAATCAGGTTTCTAGGACCCCCTCATAAGATTGACTTATTCATTTTAATGGTGTTCTGTATCTCTCTCATTAGACTGGGAGCTCCCCAAGAGTAGGAACCATGGTTCTCCCCAATCATACAGATGAGAAGATTGTGGTACAGAAAAGTAACAGAGTCAACAAATGACAGAGAGAGGATTAGAACCCAGGTCTTCTCCCCTCCCCCACTTGGCTATTTCCCCCACCCAGGTCCTTTTCTCTTCTAAAATCTAAACCTTACTAGAGCCTGAGTTCCTGACCAGCCACCTACCAGGGCCTGACCATCAGACCCAGAGCCCCTGAGGGCTATCTGTCCCTCGTCCTCCTCCAAGAAAGGAAGGCTCTGTCCAAAACTAGCACTTAATGTACACAACCAAAGATGTTTTAAGAGGAACCCTCTCAGTGGGCTACCCCAAGGGAATGGTTCCCTGTCTCAGCCTTTGCTAGCTCTGGCAAAGTGTCACTGCAAGGCCAGGGCACCTGTTTCACCTCCCAGTATTGATATTCCTTGCCCAGTACCTCTGTCATAGTACACGCTCATGTCCACATCCCAGTCATCGGCTGTCTGTTCATCAAAATCTGCAGGGATAGAAAAGCATCCAACGGAGTGCAATAAGGACTCTCAGTTCTATTAAGAGGTAAACCTAGAGTTGTTTGGCTTTTTTGTTTTGTTTTGTTTTTTTGAGACGGAGTCTCGTTCTGTCGCCAGGCTGGACTGCAGTGGCGTGATCTTGGCTCACTGCAATCTCTGCCTCCCGGGTTCAAGCAATTCTCCTGCCTCAGCCTCCCAAGAAGCTGGGACTACAGGTGCGTGCTACCACACCCAGCTAATTTTTTTATTTTTTGTAGAGACAGGGTTTCACCATGTTGGCCAGGATGGTCTCGATCTTTTGACCTCATGATCTGCCCACCTCAGCCTCTCAAAGTGCTGGGATTACAGGCATGAGCCACCGTGCCCGGCGGGGCATTTGTTTATTTTAGAGAAGGTCTTACTCTGTCCCCCAGGCTGGAGTAAAGTAGTGGGTTCATAGCTCACTGCAACCTTGAACTCCTGGGCTCAAGTGATCCTCCTGCCTCAGTCTCTCGAGTAGTTCGGACTATAGGCATGAGCCACTGCACCCAGTTTGTTTGTATTTTAAGATCCTTCCTCTGGGAGGGTTAGTCAGAATTTGCAGGGGGCGGGGGGACATTTTCTCTCCATCTCACTGATCCCCACTCTTAAAAAGGATGATTGGTCTCTCATATACAATAAAGGTCAGCCTGTTCCCTAGCCTTTTGTTTGGGCTCACCACTAGGGAATCTACTGTGCAGAACAGGGAACCCCAAGAGAATGCAGCAGGGGTCACCCCTGCCTTTGCCTGGGTACCAGCATTACCTCCTTCTTCCTCCTGCCAGAACTGGGCATCGGTATAAAACACCAGGCCAGAGCCACCCTTCTCCCACTTGAGCTCAATCTCCTCCTCAAAGAGCTGTTCAGTGGTCCGCTCCTGCCCGGTCACGTCCTCATGCAGCGCTTCATGCCGTTCCCATTCCTCACCCCGGTCATCGTCCTAAAAGGCAGGGAGAAGTGATCTGCCTAAGCTTCCTGGCCTCATGCCCAGAGGGAGGGAAGCGCAGGGCACAGGAGGCATGTGTGGCAAGCCTCAGCCCCATTCCTTCGAATTTCTCCAAGAAGCAGCACATATTTGCCCCCCGACCAACACATGTCTCTAGCCCCTGATAATTCTCAACATAGTTTGCTCCTGTCCCCACAAGCCTCACTCAGCTCTGTGCTTTTGGCCATGTCTTTCCCTGCCTGAAATACCCACTTTCCTCTCCCACACCCTTCTCTTCTCCACTTGGTTAAATCCTCCTCGTCCCTCAAGTCCTACAGCCTACATGAAGCCCCCCGAACTTAGGCCCACAGCTCTCCCACCAGTCTCTGAACTCTCAATGCTAATCAGTACACACTGGTTAGGCCTTTTTATGTGACATCACAAA